ATAGGAGTCCCTGGACCTAGTCCACTCTGCCTCCGGCTGGGGGTGTCTCTGGGTAGGTTCCTCTCACTCTTAGTGACCCCCAGACCTGTCTGGACTCTGGCCGGGCCTCTAGGTATGTGGTCCTCTGCTACTTCCTTCCGCTCATCAGCCCCTTTCTCATCCTCAGCCTTTCTTATCCTGGCTCCAACTTCTGCAGCTCCCTTCCCTGCCCTCCTTGGAGGCCTGGCTGGGGCTTCGTGCCCACTTTGTGGGGGTGGGGGATGTTTGTAGTGAGGGAAAGGGATGCTGGCTGCCATGCTGCTCTGTTCCTCAGAGCCAGCTGGCCCGGAGCTCCAAGAGGCCGTGGGCAAAGGCACCTTTGAGCATGTCTTCTCCAACCTGGAGCCTGCCACAGCCTACTCCATCCACTTGTGGGCCTACTCAGCAGAGGGTGCCAGCCAGGACTCTGTCTCCATCCATGCCTCCACCATGGGCAGCAGTGAGTGACCACCCTTCCAGCCCTGTAGAGCCCTGGCCTCAGGCCAGCAGGGCTGCAACCAGCTCACCCCATTTCCTCTGCAGCCCCTGCCGCCCTGGGCTTCTCCACCAAAGTGCTCAATGCCACCTCCGTGCAGGCCTCCTGGGAGCTGCCACCCCAGATGGGGCCCATCCAGGGCTTTAAACTCTTTCACAGCAAGCTGCCGGCTGCCCACTTTTGAGGGGCCCCTGCTCCCGGCTAGCACTGTCAGTTCCTTCCTCTACACAGATCTGGGTGAGGCCTCCCTCGGGCCCCCTCCTCAGTGTGGTCTCGCCCCAGGCACCGAGCTTCCTGGCCCACACAGGCCTGTTTCCCTCACACTACCCGGCTCCCCCCAGAGCCAGCCGTCCTCTATGAGATCAAGCTCCAGGCATTCAATAGCAATGGGGATGGTAACAGCAGTGCCCGCTTTGTCTCTCTGCATGATATGCCTCTGGCCACCCCTGCTGAGTGGGGTCCAGTAGGAGGGTAGCAGGCCTGGGGTCAGAGCAGGCCCCTCCTGTAGGACCCACGGCTGTCAGTCTTCAGGGAGGAGGAGGGGCTGGGCTTTGCCTTTTGCCTGGTCCTCAGACAGATGGCACTGTGTCCACAGAGTCCAAGGCTGGATGCTCTTGCAGCCAGGAAGAGAGCAGCTCACTGCCTGGGGTTGTGGTGGGCATCCACGTGGGCCTGGCTGCCCTCATAATTTGCCTCCTCTGCCTCCTTCTGGGCTGGAGACACAGGTAAGGGCCAGGATGGCTAATGTGGAAAACGGCTAGGAAGACAGTCTGCGCTACGGTGGCACAGGCCCAAAGCATAAGAGCTTTTTATCCATTATTAACCCATTTTACAAAGGAGGAGACTGAGGCAGAGAGGGAGCACCAGTTCTTCTCAGAGGTGCATGGTACCAGGAGCGGGAGGCGGCCCAGTGGGGTGCATGAAGCCGGGTAGAGAGCACTGGGGCTCACAGGTGGCATAAGTGGCCAGAGCCAGATCCCTGCCATCTTGCACACAAGGCGAGGCCCCCAGGGGAGTATGGAACAGGATGAAGGGCTGGGGCCAATGGGTGCTAGGCCAGAGGGACGCCTCAAACAGGTCGTGGTGCTGACCCTTCCTATCTGGGCAGCCTCTTCTGCAGACAGGCGTCTCGGGAGTGCTGGGTAGTGCCTCATACTGCCATGGACAGAGCTGCGCGCCACAGACGCCAGGCTCCAAGTGGAAGAAAGCCAGGGGAGAAGACTGAACTCATCACCCAGGTGAGGGGATCCAAGTGAGGAGTGGATGAAGGGGAGCGGTGTGCTTGAGGCCGAGGCCTGACCGTCTCCTTCCCATCAGGTGACCGTGGAGCAGTCACCCTTAGCCCAGGGCTCTCCAAGTTGGGTCCCTCCCAGATGCCACCAACTCCAGCCCCACCAACGAATCTACCTCCCTCACCTTTCCCTGCCACCCCGGAATCAGAAAAGAACCAAAGGTCCCTCAGCCCGTCTGGGGAGGGGTAGGCCTGACCACAGGGCGAGGAAGGTGTGGCTTCTCTGCTTCTAACTTTTCCTCAAGAAATGGGGGAAACTGTCCTCCTCAACAAACCACATAACCTCAGACTAAGCCGTGCTCAAGTGGGCGTTCTCCCCAACCCACTACTCCTGCCTCATGACTTCACCCAGTATATCCTCTTGATCCAAACAGGAACCTGCCCAAAGACAGACAGCTTTCAGGGCTCCCCCAACAAGGGGAGGCAGGGCGAGGGACTCTGTCATCACCTCCATCTTCCAACTCAAACCCCCCGGTCTGAAACCCATTTCTGTCTCCTCATGCCTAAGCTGAAGTCTGACCCAGGGACAGGCGACTGGCCTTCCTGGTGATCTGAAGAAGCAGGTTTGCAAAGGGGCTGCTGAGTTCCTTGCCCCCTTGTCCCAATACAGTGAAGAGCACTGAACATCTGAGTTCACATGTGCTGTTTCTCTGAGTGACCAAATGCCCATCTCCCCCTTTCCAGATCCAAAGCATCGGTCCCTTTTCAGGGGACATTCCTCCCAATCCGGTTTCTATTTTTGAATGGAGAGAATAGCTTGAGCTGAGGTTTTGGCGGCCTTGAACCACCTGTCACATGAGCACAGAGGCTGTGGAACACCCCAGCCTCTATTGCCCTCAATTCTAGGTTTGCACAGAGCACCTCTTTCCCTCTCTTCCCTCTCCTGACCTATGGCCCCCTGGTCTCTCCTCATCTAGTGCTACTATACCCTAGAACCAAAACCCGAGGCTCTCCCTCAATCTGTCTCTCCCTCTAGGGCTGTCTGGTATTGTGCCCAAAGTGGGGGAGGGTCTTGGAAAAAAGGTAAAACCTAGGGCTTAGGGGACCCCAAACTCTGTCCCCTCTGTGCTCCTGTAGGATGACGCTAGTACCAATGACAAGGCTCCAGCAAGGCTGGGCCCTGCCCCTCCACAAACGCTCCTTCTGCGTAAGGGGCAGCAGCAGCTGTAACTTAGAAATATGGCAGGGGTTCAAGGGGTTAAGAACAGCCCCAAACTTCAAGTCATCGAGGAGATGTATCCTCTCCTCTGGGTGGGCCTGGTCTAAGTGCTTTGTTGGAAATAAACCAAATGGAAAAAATAAATTAGGATCTGGTTAATGTTCTAGACTGAAAGGAAAACGTGGGGTGTCGTGGTGGTAAGACAGAGCAGTTCCAAGTTCTTCAGGGAATGCTGCCTTCAGACTAAGAAACTATATTCTGTAGTTTGCTAAGAAAAGAACAGTGTGAGCCATTGTTTAAGGTCCTCACCTGGAGAAACCAGCAAGCTATAAAGGATTTCGTTTAGAGACTAGAGCAGTGTGACGGGAAGAGCCAAGGATGGCTAGGGGACACCTCTCCTTAGTACAGAATGGACATCCAGCATCTGGGTTAAATGCAGCCTCCTTCCAAATGCCTTTAGACCCCGAGTCATCAGGTAATTAAAGTGGGTTCAGTGGCTTCCAGAACACTGGATCTACATAAAGGTGGACAGGAACAAAAATACAGACGTAGGTAAAGACTTAATCATCCCAACTGAAGAAAAGTGTACAAAGTAAAGGGTACTCCATTGACTGGAGGGAGTACGAGCCATAGGTCATCTCCCAATCACCCCTAAAACTCTCCCACCAAACTGACCCCCCCACCCCTACCAAGACTAAAGCACAAGCCACAGGAAAGTTTAGAAACCATTCCTTTCTTTATTAAACATAGCTTGCAAGTGATAAATATTACAAAGTTTTTTTTCTTTTAATCCTTTCTCCAAAAATTAGCTTATTATTTGAATCTGTCACTGCTGAAATGCTCAGCAGCATCTGAAACAGATGGGAGTGTATTTGCCTTTTTGAAAACCAGTTTCTATTGGTCTTAGTTTTTTTCATTTTAATTCCCAAACACAATGCAGAAAATTAGAATGAGTTTGTTTTTTTTTAAAAAAAGGAAACTTAAAGAGAGTTGTGCAAAAGGGTCTTGTTCCCCTCCCACCCACCCCATTCACAGAAGGCCATTCCCCATCCCACCTCCCTGCTCCCCACCCCCCACCCCCAATCTATCCTTCCGCTTTCACCAGGGCTTCACCCATCATCCTGTTTTCTCTCCAGGCTTTACCAGCCAAGAACCTAAAGAGTATGGGAGTACTCAGCCCAGGCTGTGGGGACTTGGGCCCCTGAAGGTGACAGCTGTGAGACAGCTGCCTTAAGGGGGTTCCGATGAGATCTGAGGGAAGGAGACAAGATGTGGACTCTATCTGAGCTCTCCTCAGATGGGGGAAGTTCTGCATCCTGTAGCTCACAAAGGGTGTGAGTGCCACCGCCTGGGCCTTCACTGGTCAACCACCCTCCAGGGCAGCTGTTTGTGAGGTGGGTTTGCAGCCTGGTCCCTGCTCTTGGGATGACTAGAGGCATGAGGGCAAAGATGTCACAGGTCTGACTGACGTCCTAAACATCACTCTGCTGCCTTTCCCAAATCATCATAGCAGGGGCCTGGCAGCTCCCCAAGGGCACTGTCACACACACACCCACTTCAACACGAGTCACTTTGGTTTCCTCCCTGGGTTTTCAGCCCAACACTTTCCTCACCTTAAGTTGTTTTGTTTCGTTTTGTGGGTTGGGAAGGAAGCACAGAATAGTTTTAAACTTGGTGGCCAATGATCCCCCCTGTCTGCCATCACTTAACAAATAAGAAAACTGAGACCCAGAAAATTAACTTTACCAAAGGTCACATGGCAGGTTAGCAGGAGAGCTTGGGGCTAGACCCCAGGTCCCAGGCTGTGCTACCACCCCACCCCTTTGTGCTATGGTCCTCTTTCCTCTCCACAGTCTGGACTGGAGCCTTAGCTTTCACAGTAACCCAGCCTGACCCCAATTTACAAAGCCTGAAACTGTATGCAGATGGATATGGCTCTCCCTTGAGGAGACTTTCTAAGGATGACTTGTTAAAATGATTTCTATCATCCCCTGACAATCCACCTTCAAAGGCCCATGAAACTAGGTTCTTTTTTGGGGGGGTGGGGGAAATCCCTTGCATAAGAAAGCTTGACACTGAATTTTGTTATATAGGTATATTGTATATATGCTGATGCAATCAGAGAAAAAAAACAGTGCAAATACAATTACAATTCATAATAATACTTGGTTTCAATGCCCCCGGGAACTGCCCCATTCCTCGGCTACCTCCCAACCCCCAGCACTTCCCCACAGTTTCAACCTAATGCTGGGGGATAGGGAGGGTGGGCAAGTTAGGGTAGGGAGTGGGCTCTGCCAAGGCAGTGCTGGTGACCCGGAGGGACTACTCCAGGGTGGGGAGGCAAGGCACAAATTAGGGGTGGGTGGTGGGGGAGGTGGCATCTCTAAGGAGGGATGGGGTTGGAGCAGCTGCCAGTCTCAGTGTGCTGGGCCCGGCCCACTCCCCTACCCACCCTCCACAGCCCTGCCTCCCTACCCCCTCCCCTTCCCCAGAAACCCTTTTGCACGGATCATACACAAACGGGCACATTACAAAATGACGTAACACAGTTTCACAATATCCATGGCTAGGGCTTTTTTTTCTCTTTTTCAGGTTTTTTTTTTCTACACAATGTACAATTCTTTTTAAATGGATCAAGAAATAGCTTATATACACGAATGAGTCCTTGTTATAACATCTCGGCAGCAAATATCATAAGCTAATGAAGGTCTTGTTGGAGGGGAAGGGAGCCTAGGACTGGGGTTGGGGTGGGGGGTGTGGAAAGAAGGTTATGCCTTCTGGAGGAGCGGGGAGAAAAGGGAGTGGTTGGGGAAAAGGAACAAAAGTAAAATATCAAGAAGCATCTTTACAAAGCAGTTCTATAGCTAATTCCTTTTAAAGGGGAAAGGAAAGGTAACCAAAGCAGGAAAACATTTATCTCTGTGTCTTAAAAAAAATTGTCTACCATACATACATCCAAAAATGTGGAAAAAATACTTATTCCAGGGATGAAGGAAGTCCAGATGCTGTGGTCAAATGACAAAAAAAATAAAAAATAAAAATAAAAAATAATAGAAAGAAAGAAAGAAAGAAAGAATAAAAATAAAAAATAATAGAAAGAAAGAAAGAAAGAAAGAAAAGAAAAAAAAAGAAAAAAATTGACAAATAAGGACCTCTGTCCCTCACCTTTACCTAAGCCTTACTGCTCATCCACCCCTGTTTCAGGCTTCTAGGGAGTAAGCCACTGTCCATGAACTATTCTTAAAGCCTCTGGGGATGGAGGAAGCCAGGCAGAGCTGGTGGGATGCTCACTCTAGTATCACCTTGAGCTTCACTGCTCTAGGGGTAAAGGAAAACTCTGAGCAAAAGGTCTTTCCTCCAATCTTTAGGGCATGAGGTTTAGTGTCTATAGGGCCCAAGACCTGGGGATGGACAGCAACAGACTTGGAGGGACACGAGGCAATCAGTGATGAAAACAGTAGAGAAATGAGGAAGACAGAAGGACAGGGTAGAGGGGTGAAGGGGAGGAGGTGGAAGGCTAATACTTTACCATGATTAGGGGAACCTCACCCCATCACTAATCCCTAGGAAAGGTGTGAAAATGGGGAGAAGAGAAGATAAGAAATCAAACCTCAGCGACTGAGCAAAGGGTCATGGAGCTATACTAGCAACAAGCAGCCTCTACGTAGCTGACCCTGAGGGGATAAAAACAGGGAAGACTCCACCCTCTCCCCTCTCGCCTCAGTACCCTGGCAGGCACTGACTACAGGCCTTCCTTCCTCATCATCCCCATCTCTACACATCTTAACTTCCAAACCCCATTCAAAGGTGGCCTGGCTCCCAGGGAAGGGACTCAGCTCAGGGCAGGGACGGCCCCTAGCCAGACGGTATTGCACATTCTCTGTTCCTTACTTTTAATCTCAACTGACAAACTTGGGCACCTTGTACCTCTGAGCACCTCTGAGCTGGGGGAGGGGAGACATAACAGAAATGGCACTTCATCATGGGTGAGGGGGGCGGTGAGGAAGAGGCTAGACAGACATGCCATAAGGCAAGATGACTTACAGGGAAAACATTTTTTAAAAAAGCTTCCAATTTCGTGGAAGAGAGAAAAGCAAAACCAAACGATTTCTCCAGTGCTTTCAAAGCACAGAGGGCAAAGAAAAGATGTAAGAATATATCTTTATATATATATATATATAATTTTAAAATAATCCCAGACCCAGTTCCATTAACCCCCCCTCCCTCTCCCACCACTTACAGTCAGGGGTTCCACGTTCCCCAGAAAAATACTCGAAACGACCCCATCACTACCTGTTACTAGCGTCTAGCTTCCACATCATTTCACCACTGAGGGAGCCCAGACACGGGCTGCATCTCTACTCCTTTTTAAGTGCTCAATGAATCTGGGGGAAGGGAGGAAAGAAAAAAAGCCAGGAAGGCCCGTAGGGCCAGTATAATCACCCACAGTGGCTCTGGAGTATGGGGAGTAGAGGCCAGTGTCAGGGGAACTGAGCCTGATTCCAGCTCCTTCTCCCATCCCATCCCCAAACTATACGGGGAAGATGTGCAGTTTGTATGTGTGTTAACTTTAAAAGTGCCTTCTTACTTTAAAAAATTATTTAATTTTAAAAAATAAACGTGGGGGAACTTCCCCAGGTGGCTTTCAAGGGCAAAGTGTTAAACTCCTCTTCACACCTCACTGCTGAGAGTATCCCTTACTCAAACTCTGGCAGCTTCTAGAGCTGAGAGGCAGGTGGGTGTATACTATGAGGAGAGCAGAAACTCCTACCTTTAAGGGGCTTCGCTTACCTCAAAAACAGCCTGGTCTCCTCCCTCTTCCCCCACGGCGTGGGCAAATGGGACGCTAATCTCCCCAATCCCCAGAACAGCAACATTGCACAATTCAATTCATTCTCTACATTAGTAGCACTTAATTAAAAAAAAAAAGCACGATTAATAGAATTCTGGGGAGAAAAAAGACAACTACTTTCAGAACAGAGGTCCAGGACTGGTTTTGACATGACTTGTTTGGTTTGAGCAGCTGGCTCTGCAGTTAGTGCAGCAGCGTCAGGGCAGGGCTTCAACCTGACCAGGTGCCCTCACCCTCATCTCCTGGTACTCAGAGGGTGAAGGGAGAGATGAATGAGAAAGTCTCAACTGTTGGGAGAGAAACCCCTCTTCCTTCCTTTAAGTCTATCTCCTCCCTTTGTCATCTGACTCATGCCCATTCCAGAACATCCAGCAAAATCAGGCTGGGAACCACCACTCCTCTATATTACAGTGGGCTGTGGTTACTGAGGGCAGGCTAGGAGTTCAAAAAAAGAAAAGAAAGAGGTGCAGGTAGGGGAGAATTTTACAAAGAAAGCAAGACAAAATAATTTTGGGCTAGTTGGCCTGTAATATACTTCTCTGTCTCCACTGGGGTTAGGAGACCAATCTTCTTCCCCAGCATCCACAAGGCCAGGACCTGGTCTCAGTCCTCCTTGGTTCAACATTATGCTCATCAGTGTGCCCCCTTCTCCCCCTTCTTTATGGATCAATTCCAGGGTGGTTAACTTTTAAAGCTTCTCCTTCTAGGCTCTTTCCCCTCATCCTTAGAGAGCCCAACTTCAATACCAAACACTGCCTCCTGAACTGTCCAGCCAAGAGATGCTCCACAGCTAGTGTGCTGTTCCTTCTTGTTTGATGCCGCCCCCCCCAACCCTGGGTTAAGTGCATTTAAAATTTCTGCCCCTAAAACTCTCGGTCATGTCTTACTTGGCAGTTGGGGACCCTACTGCAATGCTATCATTTAACTGAATGTTATTTGTGTTTAAAAAAAAAAAGACTAAAGATAAAAAGAAAAATACTAGGGGGGAAATAAAAAGGTTTAACCGTCCACTGAACAAAGGGAGGACACACAACATCATTAAAAATGATAATAATTATAGCATAAAAACGAACTTTAGACACACGTCAGAGGGCTTACATTTCTCCCCAGGACCTCATTCTGACCTCTGTCAGAGGCAAGGGTCCACCTCAGTGTTAAAGAAAACTGAAGAGAAGACAGAGCCGCAGAAGAACAGATCGCAGCAGTGTGAAACAAAAGGGAGGTGGCGGGGCAGGGCATGTGTTTTCTTGTTGATTTCTACTTTTTGTCTTCTGTTTTTCTGTTTTGTTTTCCGTGTATGGTAGGCACCAGTACAGGCACTGCATGCGACGGAAGTTGGGGACAATGGGAGAGGAGAGGGGTAAAGGATTCAAGGTTGGGGCAGTACAAGTGGAACAGGCGTTATTTCTGTCCACTGATGGACTGCGATATAGACCGGGGAGGGATCATGTCTAAAAGATATTCCCGCTGTCGGTCTGCCAAACTGGGGGCTTTGTGTCCTCCGATGCCAGTGTTCAAGTATGCAATGTTGACACCTAGACCCAGGAGACAAAAGTGGAGGGCAGGTATTAAAAGAGGAAATGACCCCTTCTTCTGCATTACCCTGGAGCTGCAGAACTGGCAATGAGGAGGAAACATCAGAAATTATCTACATCTGTCCAGACTCAGTTGAGATTTATTTCAGTAGCAACTACCTCCCTGCTCCCAAGCTTTAGGAAAAGAGGTCTTTCCAAAACTTCAGTCCTACCAAGAATAATAAACATGGACTGGATGGTGTCGAAGAGTCAGAGAAAACAGTGGTGAGAAGAAAATAATCAAGACAAAGAGAGAATTACTGAATCCGCTTTGGTTTTGCAGCTGCTGACTGTGGAGGAGCATCCTTGGATCATTCACAGGATTAGAACAGTTAACCCTTCATTATGGCCAAAAGAGATCAGCAATCACATGCCCACCGAGAGGGCACACTAGATATTAAATTTATAATGGCAGGGACTGTATCATTTTCACCACCAAAATCCTAGTGCGCTGTGCCTGGCATGTGATATGGATTTAGCGAATATATGCCGAATAACAGAAATGAAGGGAGCAGGGCCTAAAGAAAGCAGAAAACAAAAGAAAGAACAATTCGCCTGAAGGGGCTGCTAAAGAACAGCATACTAACTTGTCAATCTCTGAGAAAGTTCTCAGATCAACCCTTCTTACCTGGCATACCAAGGAGGCCACCTGGCACAGACAGCTGGGGTGCCTGTGCGAAGTTGGAGAGCATGGAACGGGCAGATGTGGGTATGCCACGCTGGAGGCTGCTTTGGGGCTGTGGAGCCTGCAACGATGAGGGACAAGTGATCATAACTTTGCCATGATGGAAGGTGAAAAGGGGAGGTAAGGGTGTGGGAGTACAGAAGAACAGTACGATTTCCCACAGAAGAAAGGACAGATTGGAATACATGGCTGACAAACCCTCAAGAGAAATCCTCACCTGCCGAAGCGTGTGATGTCTCATTATGGTCTCTTGTTTACTGACACTGGACACAGCTGGAGCCGTAGTAGGGGAAAGGGCTGCCTGCTGCTGTAATCGCTGTTCAATTTCCTGTTGGGAGTCATCAGGTCAAGTTGGGCAGGACAGCACCCAATTCCCTAACCAAAACCTAGAGGTCTTCTTATCTCTAATGTTGCCAGTTAGTCAGAGGGATATGGAAAAGGCAAAAGAGTCCGGTGGGGTGGTGCACTAAGATCTCTGGGTACAAGTAATCTACATGCTTCACTGATTAAGGAATCCCTCTCTCTGAAAGAGCTGGCTCTCAGAAGTTGGCTGGAGACATCTGGGTGGTGGCACCCACCCAGAGCTGACTGATGTAATTAAGCCTGATGAGTTACTGAGGTTTTATTTTTGACTCTTGTCTATCCATTTTCCAGAAGGCCCATGATGTTACCCTAATGGGTCTGATAGGTGGCGGGGTGGGAAATGGGATAGAGGAAAAGGATCTGAGATTCCCAACATATCCTCCCCTCTCCGAGAAACCCTCATTCTATTAATACTATAGGAGAGTTCACACACTTCAGCAGCACTCATCTTCACTCTTCACTAATCTTACTATTTTATAATCTACCTTCTCCTTTGTTGTTTCTTTGTCAAATATGGACTGCAGATAATTACTTCTCTCGAACAGATTTCTAGTACAAATATAAATCCCTTCCACCAAAATCCATTTGTTTGAGGAAATGAAGTCAAGAATAAAGGAACTTCTTGAGTGCTATCAGGGAAAGCCAAGTGTCAAGACTTTTGTCCCTTTCCTTTAACCTCAGCCATTATATGTCACTATGCTCGTACCCAATCAGAAAGAGTCGAATGGAAATGGGAAAGACAGGCTGGTAAGGAGGGAAAAAAGGGATCCCAGGCCTCTAGGTTCTAAGAACTTAGATGAGAAACCTAGATCACCTGGGCTGTGGGGATCACACAGACAACTCTTGTAAAACTAGAAGGAACTACGTTTTGGGAAAACCCAACCTAGGCAGGTGGCTGGTAAGAAGTCAGAGTTCTTACCTGTTCCTGCTGTAGGGCTTTAACAAAAGCATTTTTCAGCCGGTTGGTGTGTTCTGCCTTTAGAGCCTTCTTCTGGTTGGAGGTCATACATTGCTCACACAGAATCTTACCATTCTTTTCTTGCTTCCAGTGAGGGGTGAAATCTGTGCGGCACTGAGCACAAACAAATGGTTCAACCCGCAGAAGTGAGGCACAGCTTTTCCCTAGATGCCAAACAAAAAGAATAATCAGTGGTTTCACATTTCCTCTCTATCTCCTGTTTCTCATCATCAGATGAATCTTTTTCCAAGAGTTTATTCTGCTGAATTGAGAAGACAACATCCACTGTCATCTATATGAACCTTGCCTCCCATATCCAACCCATATAGAGGGTTTGGATTTATAAAATACTGTAGTTTATAAAATACTTTTATTTCATTTGATTGCAACAACATTAGGGAATTAGACTGTACCATCCCCATTTACAAATGAGGAAACTAAGTCTAAGAAACACAGCTCCTAAATGACAAAGCTGGGACAAGAACCCAAGTTTTCTGGTTTCCTATTACATTACACTAAGAAAATATGTGTCAATTCACAGCCAAAGGGTCCATGTAATCCAGCTAATACCTTTGCTTCTTAGCATCTCTTTACCTCAGACTGCACTTACCCCTATTTGTAATTTTTACCTATCAGTGTCTGAATTATTCACTTCACGATCTATTTATAGTCAATACTGAGCCCTTTAGGCACTTTACTATTAGGTGTTCCCTTAAATCCATATGTTTAGAAATTCAGGCTTGTGGGGAGGGTATAACTCAGTAGTAGAGTACCTGCCTATTATGCACAAGGTTCTGGGTTCAACCCTCAGTACTTCCACTAAAAATAAATAAATAAATAAACAAACCTAATTACCCACCCCCCAAAAAAACAACAACAACAAAAAAAAGAAATTAAATTCAGGCTTAATAACTTCCTTATGTATAGACTGGATGATGTTAATACTCTGTAGTCTGGTTCAGTGTTGTTTTACAGCTTTTATGGGGTCATAGTTATCCAAATCAGTCTACTGTCTCAACTATAAGCACTCAAGTGGCAGGGACTGAATATAATAATGCAGCACAATGCCACATAAACACTGACATTAAAAGTAAGTGTTCTAGTCTTCAAATTATGCATGCATCATGCTAGGCATAATTTTAAAGAACAATATGTTGCAAAAAATTGGCAAGATATACAAAACACACAATAAAAAATAATAAGCCTAAAATATACATACAAAAAGGTTTTTGATCTGTTGCTCCCAAACAGCCTCCAAATAAGGGATGGGCGGTAGTTTGGCAATAGTAAGGAAAGATTATTTAATATTACCCAGTGCTCTGTGATCAACTCTGCCCATATCAATCAGGTTTGGCAACCTCTCGCTTAGATAAAAAGACTGACCAGAAAAAACAGTCTTACCTTGACTGTCGATGACACTCTGTACGACTTCTTCCAAGCCTACCATGTAGATGAACTCGCTATTGGCTGCACTAGGCAGGAAGTGAAGCAAGGGAGCAGGTGGTTTAGGGGGTGGAATCTCCAGGAGTGTCTTTTCCAGCTGTTTGCGAAGAGCCAATTTGGCTGCAGCCTGTGAGTTGGCAGCATCAGTCATGGCACTGGGGCTAGGAAGTGGTGAGGACACTCTGTTCACGGTCCCTGGCTGGATATGGGAGGCAAGGTTCATATAGATGGCAGAGGATGTTGTGCGCTGACAGGGAACAGAAGAACTTGACTGCTGAAATAGATTGATTATAGGGGTCAGTGATGGTATGTGGGAGAAAGGATCAATTCTTGCTTTCATGGCAGAGAATACTATCTGATTCTAGTCGAAATGATTTAGCTTCCCCCAAACTCAGAAAAAGACAGGAGGTAGCCAACTTCTTCATTGAAAAAGAACTCTGGCACACAGGAAAGAAGAATGATACTGGTCATGAACTAAAGCTGTTAAGAGATAACTGAAGATGTAGGCTGCTTTGTCATACAACCTTATGCTACTTACTCCCTAAATTCCTCTATCTCTTTCTCCTAGGCAGATTTTAGCTTACTGCTGCTCTGCTGTATATAACCTCTCTTCACTATTATATTCACATAATTCCTCAATGCTTATACTTCTGGGATCACTGTCAACCCATTAAAATTATCTTTGTTGTCCTAGGGTTTCTCAGTGTTCAAAACTTAAAATCAATGGTCCCTTTAACAGGGAAGGCAAATAAAAGACTTCTCTGTTTCCACATTGGGGTTCCCCCTTACCGGCTGGTAATTGATGGCGGGATTCATATTGGGTGTTGTGGTGCGTACAAGGCCAGGCTTAGGTGGGCCCCGCTGACCCTGTAACTGGGCTGGGTTTGGTGCAATCACACGTTGAGACATCAACATGTGTGGGAGGGTGGTATTGGTCGCTGAACGGATGACACTGTGACCCTGAAAGAGACGAGGAGGAAAAAGTACAGTCATAGGTGGTAAAATGCCCCACAAAATGCCAAAGGGAAAATACACAGCCAAATGGAAACACAGAAAAATAGTCAGATTTGGTAATTCTATCTTACTGATCTATGAGACGAATCTACCATCACTGTAAAACCTGATTAGTGGTTAGGAATTCCCTGGCTTTTTTGGTAGAAGCTATCTAACCCTATATGGAAAAGGGCCAAGCTAGAAACCTCTAGAATACAAAGACTAGAGGGAAAAGATTAGTTATTTGTCCTATTGCAGACTAAATCACACCACAAAGGATCAACAGGACTATCTATAGTAGTAACACCTCTATTAAAGCCAGGTTCTTCTATAAACCTCACAAAAGCCCCAAAACAGAGATAGGATAACAGGGTCCCCTGACACTAAGATTCCACTATGGGTCTCATACCTGTAATGTTCTCAAATTCTGAGGTTCAACCCCTTGGGCCCCGGGCCGAGAGGGAAGCTTGGATAGACCTTGCTGTCCTACATGGGCAGGAGATGGCTGAACAATAGATGCTGCATTCTGTACAACTGGAGTCTGGGAGAGAAGAGAAAATGAGACAGTGGAAAAGGCTAGTAATCACATGTAGCAATCTGGTCTACTTCTAGGCTTTTAAAACTCCTTGTCAGTCTGAAGCTCCTGTTGACCAGGAGGAAAAATAAGAGTATCAAGGTTTTCTCGAATAAGGCCCAAGATTTAAAAAAAAAAAATCACTGTTCTTGGAGACTAAAAATCATGGAACCAGAGAAGAATGAGCCACCCAGCTCCATCTACCTGGGGCGGCCCATTCTCAAACCAGTTTTTGTTCGCTTTCTGCTAGTCCCTTATTTGCTGGGCATATTACCTTCTGGACCACGTTCTCTTTCTGTAGCTGACTCTGTCTCAGTTTCTTTAACAGCACCAGTCTAGCTTCTTCCAATCGCAGCTCATCCCTCAGCTGCTTGATGAGCTGCTGCCGTTCCTCAATGCCTTTCCCCTGAGGAAACATGGAGACTTATCAGCTATGGTAGCAGGTACTCAGAGTCCTTTCCTGCAAGATGATCTTCTCTTTTAGGTCTGAAACCTTCATCTTCCACAAGCACAAGTGGCCATGGGGTTGTTATCTTTCCGTTCCTACCACACAGTATGGTATAGTGTCTGGTATAGAGTAGGTGCTCAAAAATTGCTTACAGAATGAAAGGAGAGACCACATGTAAATGCTAATTAACCAGATTCCTGACAAAACAGAAGTAAGGCCAAAGGGAGCTATTGTTTTTCTTTATAAAATAATGTTTCTAAATCTTTCATGAAGTTATGCTTCCTCTAGAAACAAATAAAAACTAAGGAATTCTTCCATAAACTGAAACCCAGGACAGAGTGCAGAAGGTATCCTTTCAGCCAAGAGTTGAGTTTACATGATTTGGAAACATGAAGTTTTCATTTTCCAAAGATAAATTATATTGAATATGCTTTTCAAACTCTCTTCTCCACTTAATTCTAACAGTCCCCCTTAAAAGGGCATATCTTTGAGTTGAGAATCACTTATGAATAGTTTCATCAATAAGTAGTTATTTAGATCCAAAATTGGGAAATGGGATTCTCAGCAAATTAAAGAGAATAGCAGAAGCAAGAAATTAAGAAAGAAATCTTTTTTTTTCTTTTTTTTTACCTTAAACATCTCTAGGTTGGCTGCTTTGAGTCTTTCTTCCATTCGGGAGCTGGAACGGGGACTGGAAGCCTCATTATCAGACAAAACAATGATGTCTGGGGAGGGAGTTAGCCTTCCTCGGTCTGGCTCACTAGAAAAGAAAAGGAAAAATTAAGGTATTTCCAACAGTGACAGTTCATAGAAAAGTTAAGAAAACTTCTTCTCTACACTGAACAAAAAAAATCCAAGGGAACTTATGTCTGTCCTGATTCACCCAGGGAAAGACAGAGACACCCAAAATAAAATAAAGGAGACATCAAGATACTGAGTGACGATGAAACCTCAGCAAAAGTACTTTTCCCATCTAAATTCCTTACATAGGATGTAGACAGAAAGATACTGATTGGCTTTAGAAATGCAAATTAAGAGATGAGTGTTTTTTATCACATTGATTTTAATCAAAATTCCAAATATCTTCCACACATCTCACTCTCCTTTGGGGTGTTTCATTAGTTACACAAAAGCTCAAGAAGGAAAGGGTTAGTTTGACAAGGGAAGAAGGGCAAAGGCAGTAGAGCCTACTTGTCCAACCAAGGTACAGATGACATGCTGCTAAGGAACCATTCATGATACTGATATAACAACATGGTACTGGCTATCTGAGGATTTACAACAGAGGAGGTTATGTGACAACTCTAGTGACAGTCTATCTTGTCAAGAGTAAAAGCAAAAGAAGGTACTGTTGTCAGTGGCTTGAGAGAATGGACAGTCCTAAATAAAATATCCGTAACTTCCTGGAGGACTGAAACTCTAGAAATAAATATATGGGACTTGCATGTACTTGCCAGAGTTCTACTTAACATCTTCCTTCAGAAATAAACTATCTAGAAATCTAAATCTTTCACACTGGCTCCCCCTATGCCCTATCTTATTTACTACACAACTCTAGTTTTGGTCTTTCTGGGACTAGCCTTAAAAGCATCATACTTGTCCCTCTAAAATAATGAAAAATAGCACTCACTGCTTAAGACCTGGATAATAAGACTCCTGTAAATACCAACTGCTTTAGGTTCCAGAAGCAATGACCATATCCTCTAATTCTCCTTTGATTTCTTAACTGAGAGATATCTTCTCAGATCCTATTTCTCTAAGATCTATAATGCAGTCAGGAGCACTGCAGGTCTGCAACAATGTGTTCTTAGGTCTTATTTAAACATGTAACTCAAAACCTTAACTGCAGATCTTTAGTCCCAAAAGCCTCTCTATCATTTCTCAGGGTTTCCTGTCTCAGGTGTTGTTGGGACTTAGACGCCTTCTGAATAAGGCACCCTGGATGGTGGGGATAGGCATTTAATTTCTCTACAGGGTAAAACTGAGTCACTAGAATCAACCAAATTAAGCTCAGGAAATAAAATAGGGAGAGAGAATGATAATGATGACTATCTTGGGAACTATTAAGTTTGTCTGGGTCGCTCTATAACCACTGGTCAGAGACACAGCAAGCTGAGAATGCAGAGCTATAGGAAAAAAAGCCACTAGAGGGAGAAAAGAAACTTTAATTCTCTAACCCCAAGTTCCAGGAATGTCTGAATTAATTTTGGGGGTGATTTTATTTATCATTTCTGTATTCTTTCATGTCCCTCATCCCTAACACTAAAGTGCGTGAACAACTTTGAGGTCTGCTAGATTTCTACTTCTACTTGATACCCTAATGTTTACATCAACAGTCAGAAGCTCTTTCCATTCTGGTCCTGGCTGGATACATACATCACAGATTATTTCTAAGCTATGGAATTCTTCCTTTCTCAATCAAATGAGTGCCACCTACTGCTTATGGACTGTCCAGCAACAGAATAGGGATAGACATTCCTGGATGGAGATTTTGAAACTGAGCGACATTTATCAGGAAGTTGTATCTGAGGAAAACCTAAGTGGTATTTTTTTCCCAGATACAATAAGACCCACATTAGATAGCTAGCACAGATAAGGAAAAGCCCAAGTCAAGTTTCATTCCTCGATTTTTTCAAAAACTTGAAAAAAAAATTGGGGGGTAGGGTACGGTAATTAGCTTTATTTATTTATTTTTTTAAACGGAGGTACTGGGGATTGAACCCAGGACCTCCTGCATGCTAAGCACAGGCTCTACCACTTGAACTATACCCTCTCCACCCTGATTTTTTTAAACACTTTTGACCTGGGATTCTAGCCTCACTTATTAAACTTTCCAGGGATAAAAATTATGTTGCTACTTTCCCAAACACATATGATTTACAATATTTGGTGTTCTTAAACATGAAACTCTACCTATTAGATATTAAAAGCCTGACTTGCTGCTGACATCACTTTGTGACTCAGACTGGCAGATTTCCAGAAACTATAAAATTCCTTATCTTTACCCAGGTAGTAAAAACAAAGCCGGAAGAGAATGAACTGCCATGTCTCACTAGCATTCCAAAACACAAGCAATGCTGGTTTTACGTATACCTCATTTCACAGATATCATAACTTGTCCAACTGATGGCACACAGACAAAAAAAAAAGATATTTAGGCAATTAGGCAGTTATGACTATCATGTCAAGAGCCCTTCCTTCTCTCTACTTTTAAATTATCTCCTCCTTTTATCCATATCAAAGAAACCATTGTTCTCCATATAGAGCAATCTATCAATCTTGTTCACTCTTTTAAAAAGCTTGAGGCTAAATGGAAGTAGCCGTCAGTATTTCTGGTCTGGTGAAAGGGAAGAAGAGCGACAGGGACAACAGGGCCTGTTTTCCATGCAGACTGGAGATCTAGATGGTTTACATCAAGCTTCTTTTCCTGTAGGCCATTAAAACAGTTCCCAGTTTCCAAAAGTTCATCCCTCTAATAAAACTAAACACAGTGGTATGGTTGTCAGGGTAGTCTTAATTTTCAACACAGAATTATCTGAGATATAGTACAATTCCAACAGCACTAATCAGACCTTACCAAAGAGTGTAACAATGATTCTATGAAAAATATATTCAATTTCAATTTGGGATGCAAGGAATCCAGCTAACATGCTTCCTCTTCTTTGTCCCCAGTGAAGTAGAATTAGACAGTTGCTCCAGAAGTGTAAGGGTGATTATGGGGCAAGTAGGTTACTCAGGTGCATTATCTCATTCACCCACTTTTTTTCTATAAAGGATCTAAGGATCAATCTACTTTCATAACATTCTGCTGACACTACCTACAGCTCCCAAGGATTTTTCTCTTCTTCCACGACCACTAGAGAATTTACCTGAAATTTCCTAAGGGTTTTTTCATGCTATTACCAAGAATGTTCCCCCATTGGGTGTAGTTTAAAAAAATAATCCTGGTACAATACTAATAAGTAAATATTAAAAGGCAGAGAAAGAAACCAAGGTAAGATTATAACATTCCTTCCTTTTGCCTTCTTTCATCATCAGTCCACCTTAAAGATCCTGCTTTGGATCACTCCTAGGACAAAGTCAGCAAGGTTAGGTGGAGGGCAACTGAACACTGAAGAGTAATTCTCATGTCTATTATCTGTCTCTGAACCATGAATAAACTAACTGTTCTTAAAACGAGCATTGTCTATACTGTGATTCACTGTTCAGGTAGGCTCTACCCTCAGCCAGTTCTAGGTACCTCTTCTTATTGCGTTCTCCAGAGCTCCAAGTACTCAGCCTTGACAAAGGCCTGTGAAAACGTGTGCATGTGTGAAAAAGAGAGAAAGAGCACAAGCTTGGGGGAGGGTATAGCTCAAGTGGTGGAGCGCATGCTTAGCATGCACGAGGTCCTGAGTTCAATCCCCAGCACATCCATCAAAAAACTAACTAAATAAATAAACCTACTTACCTCTCCCTGCAAAAACAAACAAAAAATTTTTAAAAAAGCACAAGCTTAAGTGTACATGTACAAGTGAATGTGTATGCATATATGGGGGTTGGGAAGAGTGGCACAACTCAAGTAAGAATATAAAGAATTGGCACATGAATTGTTGACACAAGGAAAGACAAGCCACCCATGTTCTCTGATGTAATAAAAGCTGGGACTCCATAATAAACAGATCCTGAAACTCCTGGGATGATCTGAAGAAGACTATTTCCCACCATTAAAATGGCCATAAGATTAGAGTGAAAGTGTACATTAACTTACTTCTAATGGGGTATCAACTCTATAGTGCCTCCTTTATCCAGAAATGGCCACTTTATCTTAAGGATAGTAATTATAATTTTCTGTATGCTAGTAAGCAAATTTTGGAGGCACCTAGCATCATTTGGACATGCGAGGAATTCACGGTCAAGCCAAACAGCACAGGTATGTCTTCCTTCAAGAAGCTTTAGGATGAAAAATACCCTCCTCTCACTGGAATTCATTCCTTTTTCATAGGCTTAGTTTACGAGAACTAAGGAGGTAGCTGAACCAAGCCATACCTCCGTCTAGCACTCATATCCACAGGCTCATCATTGATGTTTTCTTTGCCTGGCCTTCCAGAAGTCCTGCTGTCTCCATGAGGCCTGAGATTCCCATTAAGTTTCTCTTCATAGCCCTTGACACCACTGCCATCCTGTTTGGTGGGCAAATCATGTGGCACCTCCAGATTTGCCAAATCCTTCCGTTTGAGCAGTGCCAACATTTTCAGACGTTCCATGGCCTCATGCCCCTCCATTTTGAGTCGCTTGGCCAGGACATCATCTCGCTCATCGGCTGGGTCCAAGCTCCGCTTCAACAGATTCAGGCGAAGAGCATCTTCTGTCATTCTATCCATTCTATGGAAAGAAAAATACAAGTGAGATCAGAATAAAGTCCCTTAAAAAGTCTATAAGAAAAAAGAGGATAGGGTGGTAAAGGTGTTAAGAAGAATCACAGATATATATATATGGAAGTTCAAAATTAACTGAGCTAACATTCTACCCTGTATTTTCCTAGATGATCTATATTAAAGGAGATTTCGTCACTCAAGCTCAGCAGTGAAAGTAACATTCAAATGCTTTCTAGTCATCAAGGTCCCAGCTGTACAGATGCTTGAAACCAAACACCATGCTCACCTGGATAGTCTATTAACAGTCTACAGCTCTCAAAAAAAAACACATTCTTTTATGACTGTTGGTTTGTACATGCATGCACAAAGTCAGATGCTTTGGTCTGAACTCTCATATCAAATTCTTCCCCTGGAAAAGACTCTTATGAATGGGAAGTTCTTCAGGTCACCCATGCATATCTTCAACTGGCCTACCTTATTGATGGAGAAATATGAGAAAGATGAATTACATAAACAACATCCAACAGGAACCTCAGTTGTCTAGATACAGCAAGGGTCAGAGGGGCCCACTGTTATTTGCTCTTAATTCTATACAGATGCAGCTTTAATATCTTAAGATATTTGGCTTTGTTTAATGAAGAACTCAGTTGCTTAGGATGATAAGAAATAATACGTTCTTTTCTCATATAGCAAAATTATTACAGGCAAGCTAGTTATCATTTTTCCTTCTCATTTTCACACTAACAAAAATTTTCACACTAACAAAATCAAGATGCAGAATTTCTTCAACACTTCTAAATCCAGAGTTGTCTTCCTAGTATGACAATGTGGCACTGGAAAGAAAAATTTTTGAGTCACAGAAATATAGGATTAAACTGCTACTTACTTTTTACAAGGTCAAATATTTAATAAGTTACTTTACATCCCCAAGTCTCAATTTCATATGTAAAAGTGGACACTCAGAAGAGTCTCAACAAAACTTAATTCCTATATCCTAAGGAAATGACTTCCACACCTAAGACATGAGATCATGCTTGATAACTTGTAGACTCAAGAAGTAGGACAGAAGACTTCCAATGTTAACTGGTGTTCTTGCAAAGATAAATATGTATGTGCTTGAGGCATCTTCCTGTAGTGCAGAGTACAGCAAGAGCTGTCTGACTCTCTGCTAGTTATAATGAAGAAAAAGAGTAACCAACAAAAGAATTTCCAACAAAAGGAAACAGACCTTTTGGAGACCAGAGAAAAGCTGTAACTCAGATCTCTGAATTTTCAGATAATGTTTCTTAATTCTTTCTTTTTTAAAGAACAGCTCTGTTGAAATATAATTCACATATCATTGTAAACTGACTACACTTCAATAAAAAAATTCACATATCACACAATTCACCTATTTAGAGTGTATAACTGAATGGTCTATAGTATGTTCACAGAGTTGTGCAACCATCACCACAATCAATATAAGAACATTTTCATAATCTCCTCCCTAAAAAAACCATGCCCCATTAGCAGTCACTCTCCCCAATATACTTTCTGTCTCTAAATTTGCCTATTCTGGACTTTTTATATAAATGAAATCATATAATATGTGTTTTTTGTGACTGACTTCTTTCACTTAGCATTATGCTTTCAAGGTTCACTCATGTTATATAGCATGTATCATATCTTTTATGGCCAAATGATATTCCATGGCATAGATATATATTTTGTTTATTCACTTCTCAACTAATAGACATTTGGTTTTTCCTACTCTTTACTATTATGAATAATGCTGCTACTGAACTTTTATATACAAGTTACAAAACATATGCTACAAAACATATGGACATATGTTTTCAATTCTCTTGGGTATACACCTATGAGTAGAACTGCTGGGTCCTAAAGTAACCCTCTTTTTAACATTTTGAAGAATTGTTAGGCTGTTTTCCAAAGTGGTTGTGCCATTTTACATTACCACTAGCAGTGTATAAGGGTTCTAATTTCTCCATTTCCCCTTAATTCTCTTTCAACAGCTTCAAATCTGAAACATTACAGCAGATATAAACATTCTTTAGCTACAGGTCCCTCAAAGATTTGTTATTTTGACATATGTTACTTCTGAAGTGGTTTACCTTTGAAAAATACCCCCAGTTAAGAGTGACTGTAAAGTTGAATGCTACAGAACATCAAAAGTTAAGCCCTAACTTCACAGTAACAATGTCCCGGGTAACTCTATCAACACCTCATATTGAGAATGACTGAGAATACCATGGTGAGTTACAGAGGTTGAAAAGTTTGTCACTCAACTAATTATACACCTAGATGCAAAAAGTACTTTAGAAAAGTACACAGCAAAAAAAAAAAAAGTACACAGCAAGATAAACAAATATCTATTAACACAGTACAGTGTTCCAAGTTCCAAGATAAATTATATTCATGAGCACTGAAAATGTATGACAAAACGACAAAATTCAATCACCTGGAGCTAAATTGAGTTTGGGATGCCATCATCTTGGTTTTTTCAACTGAGTTTGATACAAATAGTCGAAATCAATTCAAATAAATTCCCTTTATTATACTCTGACATAAACAGGTACACTGGAAGTTGGAAGAAGCCAGAGCCAGATATGTGAATGTCTGAGGTAAATAATCTTTCCCCAAAGATGGCTTGAAAACTTTTGACCAAATTTTCCTTGCCCACTCTTGACTTCACTGTCTAAAAGGCACAACTTTATGTACTCGGAGCCTGTCTCAAAAGTCAATGAAATATGGATCAATCCTGAAAACAGCATGCTAAGTGAAATGTCAGACACAGAAGGACAAATATTTTATGGTTCCACTTATATGAGGTACCTAGAATAGGTTCACAGAGATAGAAAGTAGAATAGAGGCTGCCAGTGGCTGGGGGTGGAGAGAAGGTAATGAGTTATTTAACGGGAACAGAGTCTCTGGGATGAAAAGAGAGTTCTCAAATGGATAGCAGTGATGGATGCACAACACTCTGAATGTATTTAAAGCTGAACTGTACACTTAAAAGTGGTTAAAATAGTAGATCTTATGTTATGTATATTTTGCCATAATAAGAAAAAAATCCAATGTAATTGAGACTGATTTTAAAAATGGGCACAAGAGATCTTTTTGGGGTGATGAAAATGTTCTAAAACTGGATTGTGGTGATAAGTTGCACAACTCTGTAAATTTACTTTTAAAAAAATTACTGAATCATACACTTACACTCCAATAACGTTGTAAAATTAGTATTCAATGTAAGTGTGTCACATAAAAATTCCTCTCCAAAAAGTAACACAAAAATTCTGTAAAATGAATGTTGTATGTTGCTTTTTAATGCCTAATCAAATTTTTCTGATTCTTCTAGGCTGCAAACAGCTAATATTTCTTAAGTACCTACCTAAAAGCCAAACATGCTACTAGGCACTATCATGTGTTCTTATTTACATCTCCTCAACAAGTCACGTAAGTAAGTGATATTATCCCTACTTTAGAGGTAGAAAAAGTGTCAAATCAAGGATCCCAAGACTGTAAAGCTTTGGATTGTGAATCTGGAATTCCAACGCAGGTCTAGCTTACTTCAAAAATCTATTATATAGTACATCTCCTGGCTCAGAGCTAGATAATCTTAAGAAGCAGTGTTGTGTATTCATGTATTTGCACATGCATCCAATTCTTCCATCCCCCACAAATATTAAGTATATACTATGTGCCAAGTTCAGGGCTAAGTACTAGGAGTAAAGATTACAAAAGACTAGGTCAATGTCTTTAACAATTTCATTTGATAGGAGACAGATGTGCATATAACTAAAGTAAGTACTTAGATGTTTACATGAACTCATTTTCTCTGCCTTCCCTATATTCTGCTTTTCTCCCTCCTATCTCAGTGAAGAGAAAACAATTCATCCAGAGGCAAAAGCCAGAAGCCTGAGAATCATCCTTGACTTTTCCAGACTCTTAAATCTAAGTCACCAAGTTCTATCAGTTCTATTCTTTTCCTCCAAATGAAAAAATATATAGCCCTGGAGTGTTCCTGCTGGCAGCCACCTTGTGACCATGAGGGAAGGCAGCCTGCAGATAAAGCAGACACTGTACACAGCAGAGCATTTAAACAAGAGCTAATAACATAGCTGTGCCACCAGATCAGACTACTCTGAAGCTAGTGTCTGGATTCTTGCTACACAGGCCAATAAATTCCCTTAATGTTTAAGCCAGTATGAACTGTGTTTTCTGTTACCTAAACTGAAAATATCCTAAAGGATAACTGTCAGAAGTGCTGAAATGAAATCAAGATGGAGATATCCAATAAACAGGGAGATACATGGCATGCAAACAAGAGAGCCAGAGTTCAGACCAGAGTTAGAGATAAATATTTGAACAGGTAAAGGAGGTAATTAATGAATGGGGATGAGTGAAACTGCCCGGGGGGAGGGGGAAAAGTATACAGTCAGAAGGAAAAGGGTCAAATATAGAACCTTGGGCAATATCTACATTTAAGGATTGGTTGGTCAGAGAAAACTAAGAGTGAACGAGGGGGAAACTAGGAAAGCATAACATGTCAATAAATTACAGGAGAGTTTCAAGAAGAGTAGTTATTTGTGTCCAAGAATTACAGCAGAAGAAATGCAGGCAGCTTTAAATTTTCTAAGACTGTTGTAAAAAAACAAGAAAGGTCAGATAGTAACACAACTCTAGATTCATTCTTGTCAAGTTTTTGACTCACTGTTACTCCCAAACCAAATTACAGGTCTGCAACAAAGACAGGATCCTGAGACAGAAGAGGATGAAGGGATAGAGAAGGTGAGCAAAGTGAATTAACATCTACTGAGTTGCCTGATATTTACTAGGCAAATGTGTAAGGTCCTTTATATTTATTCCCCCATTTAATCATATTAGAGAACGATTTTAATTTCCAGCTAAGTCTGAAAACCTCCAATTCTCAAAAATGATGAAATTTAAACCTATATATAGTCATATAACATGACTTTTAAGTTTAAAGTAGCAATAGCCTATAGACTGTAAGATGGTTTTTATTTAATGAAGAGTTCTTAGTATTTATACTGAATGAGACAGCAATCCTTACAAAGTAAAACAGTATTTCTTTAACACATAAAAAAAGTTTAAAAAAGTATTCTGGTTTCAAAATTCTAAGTAGGGATGTAAGGACTTTCTTTAAAAAAATACACCTTTCTCACAAATTCTAGTAAGTGTTTACCTTCTT